GGTTCAACCATACTGTAAAAGTCTGAAAAACATATCCGGCCAAAAGGAAAAGGCAATATCCTCCAACCAGCCTAGCCAGTAAGGCGAATTATGGCCAGATCATTATAGATGAAATAATAAGAAAAATCACAGGCTTCATTCCACGGAGCCTCGCTTACCGCCGACGAAGGTAACAGCCGGTTAGGCACAAAAACAGAGGGTGCTAAGAATATCCTGGTACCGAATTGAAGCTGCTACGGTTTACTAACACTGGCAACGTACAACTGCAGATCAATTACACGCGAAGGAAAGCTTTAAGATCTGGATGGCGAACCTAAGAAATCAAGTGGGACATTGTAGGACAGCGAAATTAGACGAATGGAGGACGTGTTGACAGATCTTAATAGCGCAAACTATTTGTTCTATAGAGGATATCAGCAAACCGAGAAACAGGAAAAGTAGGGCTTATAGTCTACAGATGATTACAATACAATATGCTACAAGTGGACAGCACTTCAGAGAGGTATGCAAGACTGGTCCTGAGAGTTTCGGATGCAAACTCCAAATGATCAAAGTATATGCGGCGTCATCAAGACATTCTGAAAGAAAGTGAAGATGTTCACAAAGAAATAAAAGTGTATGTATGAACATTAAAAAGCCACTGCACGTTAATAATTGGTGATTTCAATGCCAGAGTCACACCACAGCAAAATAGCGAATGCCCCACGAACTGATTTGGTTAGGGCGAATTTAACGGCACGGGCGGTCAACTAGTGGAGTTTGATGAAAAGAACAAGCCATTTATTATGAACATGTTTCTTTGGAGAGAGAAAAAACAATCAAAAAATAGATACAGAAAAGCCAAAACGACGGGAACAATGAAATTGATTTCATCCTCAGCAAACGAAAGACACGAATAGGCCGTCGTCGTGCTTAACAAGTTTAATGCAGGGAGCAACCAAAGGCTGGTGAGTTGCAAAGTGCGCCTGAACTTAATTTTAGAAGGTGATTGCCGAGTACAAGATGCAAGATGGAAACGCTAAACAACCTCTCTCTATTTAAACTCTAGTGCTTCACAGAATGCAAGAAGAAAAAAAGAAGCAGAAAAACTAATTTATCACAATCAATAAGGTAGTTAAAGAAACGATGGATAATGTCTGCAGAACAGCAATTATAAAGTTCGACAGTAAAATCACGAAACAAACGAAATAACACATGAAGAACAGAAAAGAAGAGAAATGAAGAGGGAAACTGATCAAAAATCAAAGATTGAATTCGCGGAAGTTTGCAAAACTTCAAGGAGATGCATAAAAGCAACGTCTGAGCATTTAAC